TTTGAACATGAAAAGGCCTAAAGCCCTAAACAAAGTAATATGTCCAGGAGATTTCCGCGTGGCTTCGTTATTTTTTGCACAGGCGTTTTGTTCTTTCTATATGTAAATTTCGAAAAGAAACATCATATTCACGAGCCTACTAGTCAAAAAACAGTTGATCAATTCCGTTGCAAATTTGATTTTTGTACAACTTGAGAGGGTCTTCTTTGCACATGAAAAGGCTTAAAGCCCTAACCCAAGGAACACGTCCATGGGATCTCCGCATGACTAGGTCATTTGCCAGCGATTTGCTTTTTCTGTATATAAATGTCGGAAAAAAAACACCAATTTTACGAGCCTACCGTTGAAAAGCCATTTGACCAATTCCAATGCAATTTCGATTTTGTACAACTAGAGATGGTCTTTTTTGCACATGAAAAGGCCTAAAGCCCTAACCCAAGTAATATGTCCAGGAGATGTCCGTATGGCTTGGTCATTTTTTGCACCGGCGATTTGTTCTTTCTCTATGTAAATTTCGGGAAGAAAAATCATATTCACGAGCCTACCATTCAAAAATCATTTGATCAATTCCGTTGCAAATTTGATTTTGTACAACTTGAGAGGGACTTCTTTGCACATGATAAAGCTTAAAGCCTTAACCCAAGGAATATGTCCATGAGATCTCCGCATGGCTCGGTCATTTGTCAGCGATTTGGTTTTTCTGTATATAAATTTAGGAAAAAACATCAATTTTGCAAGCCTACCGTTTAAAAGCCATTTGACCAATTCCAATGCAAATTCGATTTTGTACAACAAGAGAGGGTCTTCTTTGCACATGAAAAGGCCTAAAGCCCTAACCCAAGTAATATGTCAAGGAGATTTCCGCGGGGCTTCGTTATTTTTTGCACCGGCGATTTGTTCTCTCTCTATGTAAATTTCGAAAAGAAACATCATATTCACGAGCCTACCATTCAAAAACCATTTGATCAATTCCGTTGCAAATTTGATTTTGTACAACTTGAGAGGGTCTTCTTTGCACATTATAAGGTTTAGAGCCCTAACCAAAGGAACACGTCAATGAGATCTCCGCATTTTGCCAGCGATTTGCTTTCCAGTATATAAATTTCGGAAAAAAACGTCAATTTTACGAGCCTACCGTTCAAAAGCCATTTCACCCATTCCAATTCAAATTCAATTTTGTACAACTAGAGAGGGTCTTCTTTGCACATGATAAGGCTTAAAGCCTTAACCCAATGACTCAAGGGACACGTCCATGGGATTTCTGCATGGCTAGGTCACATGCCAGCGATTTGCTTTTACTTTATATAAATTTCGGAAAAAAAAAACATCAATTTTACGAGCCTACTGTTCAAAAGCCATTGACCAATTCCAATGCAAATTCGATTTTGTACTGGTAAAAAGGGTCTTCTTTGCACATAAAAAGGCCTTAAGCCCTAACCCAACTAATATTTCCAGGAGATTTCCGCGTGTCTTGGTCATTTTTTTGCACCGGCGATTTGTTCTTTCCCTATATAAATTTCGGGAAGAAACATCTTTTTCACGAGCCTACCATTCAAAAACCATTTGATCAATTCCGTTGCAAATTTAATTTTGTACAATTTGAGAGGGTTTCCTTGGCAAATGATAACGCTTAAACCCCTAAACCAAGGAACACGTCCATGAGATCTCCGCATGGCTAGGTCACTTGCCAGCGATTTGCTTCTTCTGTATATGAATTTTGGGGAAAAAAAACATTAATTTTACGAGCCTACCGTTCAAAAGCCATTTGACCAATTCCAATGCAAATCGATTTTGTACCACTAGAGAGGGTTTTCTTTGGACATGAAAAGGCCTAATGCCCTAACCCCAGTAATATGTCTAGGAGATTTCCGCGTAGATTGGTCATTTTTTGCATCGGCGATTTGTTTATTCTCTATGTAAATTTCGGAAAAGAACACTATATTCACGAGCCAACAATTAAAAAAGCATTGATCAATTCCGCTGCAATTTTGATTTTGTACAACTTGAGAAGGTCTTCTTTGCACTTGATAAGGTTTAAAGCCCTAACCCAAGGAACACGTCCATGAGAACTCCGCATGGCTAGGTCACTTGCCAGCGATTTGCTTTTTCTGTATAATAATTCATAAATAACAGAAAATTACGAGCCTACCGTTCAAAAGCAATTTGACCAATTCCAATGCAAATCGATTTTGTACCATTAGAGAGGGTCTTCTTTGGATATGAAAAGGCTCAATGCCCTAACCCAAGTAATATGTCCGGGAGATTTTCGCGAGGATTGGTCATTTTTTGCATCGGCGGTTTGTTTTTTCTCTATGTAAATTTCGAGAAAAACATCATATTCACGAGCCTACCATTCAAAAAGCCTTAGATTTATTCCGTTGCAAATTTGATTTTGTACAACTTGAGACGATCTTTGAACATGAAAAGGCCTAAAGCCCTAACCAAAGTAATATGTCCAGGAGAATTCCGCGTGTCTTGGTCATTTTTACACCTGTGATTTGTTCTTTCTCTATGTGAATGTTGGGAAGAAACATCATATTCACGAGCCTACCATTCAAACACCGTTTGAGCAATTCCGTTGCAATTTGATTTTGAACAACTTGAGAGGGTCTTCTTTGCACGTGATAAGGCTTAAAGCCCTAACCCAAGGGACACGTCCATGAGATCTCTGCATGGCTAGGTCACTTGCCAGCCATTTGCTTTTTCTGTATATAAATTTTGGACACATGAAAAAGCTTAAAGCCCTTACCCAAGAAATATGTCCAGGAGATTTCCGCGTTGCTTGGTCTTTTTTTTGCACCGGCGATTTGTTCTCTCTCTATGTAAATTTCGAAAAGAAACATCATATTCACGAGCCTACCATTCAAAAACCATTTGATCAATTCCGTTTCAAATCAATTTTATTTTGTACAACTTGAGAGGGTCTTCTTTGCACATGATAAAGCTTAAGGCCCTAACTCAAAGAACACGTCCATGAGATCTCTGCATGGTTAGGTCACTTGCCAGCTATTTGCTTTTTCTGTATATAAATTTCGGAAGAAACATCAATTTTACTAGCTAACCGTTCAAAAGGCATTTGACCAATTCAAATGCAAATTCGATTTTGTATAACTAGAGAGGGTCTTCTTTTACACATGAAAATGCCTAAAGCCCTAACCCAAGTAATATGTCCAGGAGATTTCCGCGTGGCTTGGTCATTTTTTGCACCGGCGATTTGTTTTTTCTCTATGTAATTTTCGGGAAGAAACATCATATTTACGAGCCAACCATTCAAAAACCATTTGATCATTTCCGTTGCAAATTTAATTTTGTACAACTTGAGAGGGTCTCCTTTGAGCATGAAAAGGCCTAAAGCCCTAACCCAAGTTATATGTGCAGGAGATTTCCGCGTGGCTTGGTCATTTTTTGTACCGGCGATTTGTTCTTTCTCTATGTAAATTTCGGGAAGAAACATCATATTCACGAGCCTACCATTCAAAATACCATTTGATCATTTCCGTTGCAAATTAGATTTTGTATTACTAGAGAGGGTCTTCTTTGAACATGATAAGGGCTAAAGCCCTAACCCAAAGAACACGTCCATGAGATCTCCGCATGACTAGGCCACTTGCCAGCTATTTATTGATTGGCTAAATAATGCTAAATCTAGTTATAGATATGGTACCTGATATGTTCAAAGCGTAATAAAATCAAAACAAGACGGTAAAAGTATGTAATATTTTAGAAGATCAACCAATATACTTTTTTGAAAATTTAGGAAAACTTTGAAAACAGGCACTCATTCGGGTAATTTTTAAGGAATTTGTTGGCTCCCTAAGTAGGAAAATAAATAATAAAAAATAAACACTTTTTTCTACCCAAAATGGATGGAAAGAAACATAAATAATGTTAAAAGAAAAAAAAGAAAGAAAAAGTTGACCCATTAGAGGTTTGAACCCATGGCCCTCATTTTCAATGTAGTTAACAGTAGTTCTAACCTATTTGAATACTCTTCAAAGTGGAGGTAAGGCATTAGGATGGTAATACCTTAATTCAAAATAATATTTTAAACATTCTCACGGCCATTTAAATAATTACTTATCAAATTCAGTGAATCTTTTTTAACATTCTCACGGACATTCCAATTTTTCTAATCAAATTAATGGACTCTCAATAATAGTTTGGAAAGCTCGTAACTTGTAAAATCTGTTTTTCTCATTCGATTAGATTACCTGTTGTGAAGGACTGACATAATTATAGAAACAATGACTTTGATACTGACACTCATATGATAAAACTAATTTTTCAATTTTAGAATTGTATGCATGTATACTATGTAGCATATGACTAAAATTACAACACAATGTATTGACCGAGGCATTAAGTCATTTCTATATTTTGAAGATAAAAAAATCCTTTCCAATTTTAGATCGTATACTTTAAAATCGTATACTAGTGATTTAAAACTACGTCGCATTCACTTATATATGCAAGACATACTACATGCCACTGACCTCATTTCGTATCTATATGTGAACACAATATTGTAATTTTAGCAATTTTTATGAAGTATTGCTCTAATGAAAATAGAAGAGAAAATGTTTCTGGTGTATATAATACTCAGTGTTATTCTATTTGGGATGGCAAAGACTGAAACTGGTAAGAAACAAAAAAGAATTTTATCGAAAGGAAGTATAATGATAAAAATTATTTAAAGTTTAATTAAGGAATGTGATATGTTTTTGCCCTTCTCACAAGACTCGAAGCCAAATATGTGTACATTTTATTAGTTGTAATTGAAATAATCATTTTTACGTTTAACTCATCAATTTATTTATTTATTTATTTATTTATAGAAACAGAAGCTGCTATTCTAAAACGGTTGGATATATATGAAGGTGTAATTCAAGAGCTTCTGCTTAAAGTGGATACATTAAGTTCACAAGACCAACTTCAAAAGGTGCAAATTGCCAGCTTGGAAAATAAGATGCAAGTCCAACATAAACGTACCATCCATTTGGAAAATCTAATTAGGCGACTGACTGTGAACCATAGAAAGAGAATGCAAAGAAGAGGAGAAAAGGCAACAACAGTTGAAGCCGAAGTGGAGACCGATGCCAACAGAGAAAATGGTATATTTTCTACATTTTTGTCAGGATAAATTGCAATAAAAAGGTAAAATTATGTCTATATAAGTATTGTTTTTTTGTTATTCAACGTAATCATAAGTTGCAACACATTGAAAGTGTAATTGAAGCACTTTTTTGTTTATTTTTAGTGACATTTGCATCGAACTAAGTCTATATTTAATCAAGTTAAATAAGATTAAGGTCGAAATGAAATGTTTCTTTTTAATTCTTTATAGGCCAACACATAAATAGGATAAGGAGACAAGAACCTGAAACACAAGTCGCCTTTTTCGCCAAGATGGAAAATCATTTAGAACATGCTGGCGTTCATCAACCTTTTATTTTTGAAAATGTCGTGACAAATATTGGAAATGGGTACAATCCGCATCTAGGATCATTCGTTGCTCCAGTGTCAGGAACATACGTGTTCTCTACGACGCTTGTTTCATTCTTCCATGTCAGTGGCAATGCTCAATTTGTCAAAAATGGAAAAGCAATCACAACAATGTACGTAAGTGGTGTAGAGTCCGGAAATGATACCACAGGCCAAACTATTGTTCTTCAGCTTCAAAAAGGAGATGATGTTACAGTACAAAACCTGGTGTCTGACAAGTCGTTCTATGGTCATGGACATAGCATCTTTTCTGGATTTTTGTTGTATGAAAACTATACAAGTCCTATTGTTGGGAAATAATATAATGAATACAATATATATGTAAGCAAGTAATAAAGTGCCTTATCCTTTTATCCACACTCTATTAAAATGATGCTAAATACTCCAAAAAAATTGTATGTAGACCAAGAGAAAATATGCATGAAATTTATATGTTATCTTTCCGTCTTTAAATATTTATTCAACACACACTTTATAAATATATGCAGATATGCACATTTGCAATATTTGTTTACTGCAACTGACGGAGTATCTCTAATACTTAATTTAAGAACCACCATTTTCAATGGTTTATGAACATATGTGTAAAAGTGTTCCATCTTGCATAACAAGGGAACCAAAATTTTATATACGTGATATTTCAGTGGTTACACTACTACGAGGCTGTAGGCCCTCCTAACGCGCTTCTAGCAGTTGTTTTTTAGGAAATAAATCAAAATATGATGGATTTGACTCAATTTCAGAGAGGGTATGGCAAACTTTCCATGTTATGTTACGTCAAATGTGACAAACTCATCCAGGTTTTTTAATGCGGTGTTGTCATGCGATATTAATTGAATAGTAAGTTTTTATTTTTATTGGCGATGATCACCTTTATATTCAAATATCTTTTTTTCGTCTAATTATAATAAGGCCCATGTGTTCCATTTTGTCGTTTCAGTTCGGGGTCATATCAAAATCTCATCTATTGAAACTTCCGTGTTAAGAAACAGATCATTGTCATTTTGGTTTATTTTCGGTAACCTTTTAGCAACATTCATTTTGCATGTTTCTGCTCAGGATTCAGAGCAGGGGGTATCCACCTATTGTAAATACCTTTACTGGACAAGCGGTTAAAGAGATATTTTGTGAGTCTGTCTTGATTTGAAATAACCTATGTTAAAGAATCATGCTTTTTTTCATGTTTTATAAGAAGTAACAAAATAAAGCAAAAGATAAAATAAATAAAAGACGTTCACTGCGGTTTTCTCCGAAAAAAATCTGTGGAAAAGTCTTGATATGAAACCAACATAGAAACTTAATCTTATTTTATAAAACAGATCTACCTGATGAAATATTGGTTTATACTTGATGTTTCTTGAGTAAAGTAAATATTATGTTTTTAATTATCATGACGCCTTATATTGTCCAATATTTTGAAAGTTGGATTGCAGAATTTTCAATTTTGAATCAGTAACATTGTTCTTCTGGTCAGATAACATTGACATTTTAGCTATCTGTGAAAATAAAAACGAAAATAAACGCGGAAACAAGTTCAGAAAAATCTTGAGTGAATCATCTTTCATCATATTTTAATTAGAATAATATTACTTTCTTAACGTTTTAAGCCACGGAGCTCACAATCAATGTTTCACTTAGACTTATATGGCCGTTAACCTTATTCATATATGTCTTATATGTAATCAAAATCAATATTTCATCAAGATAACAAATGTGTTTGTTGAAAACAAGGAATCCCTATAGACTTATAATTCTGGAAATTCCATTACGTGAAATGCTCTCCATTTATTGTCGTACGTTATCTACAACAAGGTTAACAGTACTATGAGTAATATCTGATTGGAAAGAGGTTATAGTATTGCAGAAAATGTCACTTTAATTGTTATTTGAAATGCTCAATTTTTCATTTACAAATATGTATAAAATATGTAAGAACACGAAGATGTATTTGAGACTTTTTTTCAAAAGCATGAGGCAATGATGCTGAATCAATTTTTAAATTGACGTCTTGTTCTCATAACATATATCTACTTATGAAATTCAAGATAATATCTTTAAATAAATATTTTTATAGTTTTTGGTTAATCGCCGGCCAAATGAAAGACAGAAGAGGGCATTTTGTGCATTGCTCTTTTCTTCAATGATTTATTTCAACTGATGAAGTTTTGATTTAGCATAAATAGCTTATTTCTAATCAAGTTTTTTTTCAATTATTTTTAAGGATGTTATTTTGACGCTTTTATCCTAATCTTTTACCTTATGTATAATAAAAAGGCAACTGACGAGTTTATGAAATAGAACAGAGAACATGAGTTTTACCAATACCACTTGTGGAGGTCCGAAGAAGACTCAGCTAAATAACAACTCGAACCACTGCATTGCTCGATTGACATATCCAACTTGCTTCAACGTCGAATTCTTGGTTTTGATTTTACGTCTAAATTCAAAATAAGGCCCTTAATGTTTATTTGTTTTATTTGTCAGCGTTATACGAGAACCTGAACCATATGTGATAAACAATTACAATATTCATATTTAGAATTAGACGAGGAGTTACAAAACATCAAATATATAAAGAATTTATAAAATTATATATTTGATTAAACGCAGTCAAAAAGATAATTAGTTTTAAAGATTTTATGACATAACATCGGACGCTTTTTACAGAAAATAAACGTACAAAATAAATTGAGTAAAGTATCGTATTTAAGGACTTGAAACGGACATGTATATATGCATTTATATGACTATAAATCTTTATCTTTGAATTTTTAGTTGTATCAAATGAAACAAATAATCTAATTTATGTTTAAAAACAGGCATAGCTAGTATAATTATTGCATGATATCTCAAATAAATATATTTAGGAGATTGTTAAAAATGAAATGGCAGGAGATTAATGACAAAAATTCTATTATCATAGTAAAGGTTAAGAAATATTGTTTTCTTAAAAATGCAAGTTATGTATAATTACAGCAGCCGTAGACATATAATAAAATTAATGTAAAGTACATGATGTTTTTTTATTTATTTATTTGCGGTATTAATTGAACCATAAGTTCTGATGGTAACCTTATACATATGATATATGTCTTACATGTCATCAGAATCAATATTTCATCAAGACAACTAATGTATTTGTTGGAAACAAGAACTCCCAATGGACTTACGATCCTAGAAATTTCATTAAGTTGAAACTCTTCGTTCATTGTTGTAAATTATCTACAGCAAGGCTTACAGAATTGTGAGCATTATTTGATTGTGTTGAGATTACATTTTCATCGTAAATGTCACATTCTCTGTAATTTGAAAACACTCAATCTGATAGCCAAGTGTAAATATTGGAAAGAAATTGTTTTGCAATACAACAGACATGTACAATTCATGACAGTTCAAATAAGAAAAAAATATATTTATCATGGTTTGCAATCAGTTTTAACTTAAATATGTGTGAGACATGTATATATATATCAAGTATATCGCTATATACGGGTATATTTTGAAAATTCTGATATCATTTATTTTTTCAAGTTTGTTAACTGATATATGCGCGTTTTTTTAGAATTGGTAAGATTAAGTTCTTTCTGCTATTCTATGAATCATGAATTGAAATGTTTGTTTAAATTACAATGTTGACCTTTTGGTTGTTTGTTTGTTTTGGGTTTTACGTCACATCGACACAGTATAGGTCATATCGCGACGTTCCAGCTTTACTGATGGAGGAAGACCTCAGGTGCACTTCCGTGCATTATTTCAGGCACGAACGGGCACCTGAGTAGAACCATCGACGTTCCGTAAGCTAGCTGGATAGCTTCCTCACATGAAAAAATCCAAAGTCCCTGTCAGGATTCGAACCCATAGCGGTGAGGGGCAAGTGGTTTGAATTGACCTTTTGAAGGCCAAGTCATATATAATACTGACTAGCCTGAGGATGCGTTTATCAATTAAAATAGTATTCCTCATGTTTATATCAATAAAAAAAACGTATATTTCATTTTTTAACAACGAAATGACATACTTCATTTTTATATCAATAGAAAAAGTATACATCATTCTTATATCATTAAAAATGGTATATATCATTTTTTAATATCAATGAAAATTATATTCTTCATTTTCATATTAATAGAAATAGTATACTTCATTCTTATATCAATAAAATGGTATATTCCATTTTTTATATCAATAAAAATGGTATATTTCATTTTTATGTGTATCTTAAATCCCGTTTGTTATAATTATTTAACATCACCTATTAATGGCATGCCACCAATGTACCACGTTATTCTCAAACTTAATGTATAACATTATGTATAAATATCAAGACCCTTGCAGACTTATTTATGTCAACGGGGTATTCGAACTATTACAAATTGACTTCCAGTGTATGGCTTGGCGGCAGCATTTCAAAATAGCCCATATTATTTGTTCCATTTATGATTTGCTATTTCAAAGTTCACTGATGCTTAAGCTATATTTTCTGTTGTAGCACGCTTGGTTCTTTAAAACGAAATGGTCAGGTTAGATTGAACGAATGCTTACAACATGCACCTTTCTCTGTATTTGAAATTTGCAAAAGGTTTAACGCTTGTCGAGTGTAAAATACGACACAACACTTTACTTAACTATTGAACAATCAAACGTCACAAGAAATACCAAACGAAGAAAACATTGCAGCATTAGAACTGACCAGAATAACAATATTCCTGATTCGAAATTTCATAAAACAATGGACTAATGTAAGGTTGACCTTTCACTTAACTAAATGAACGCCGGTACATCAATGTTGCAATTTGCTTTCTGTACTCTCATATATTTCATACATTCACAATGTATGTCTCACGTTCTGGCTCTTTATATTGTGATTATTAATAAATATTTCTGTTCCATCATTATGAATTGAGCTTTATAAATACAAGCTATATAAATGCAAATGTTTTGTCTGGGTACAAATTAAGACATTTGTTTCTAATCGGTTAAGGCAAAAATCAATATGCGCTGTAAACTTATTTTTAAAGACGCATTTGACAGTTAATCAATGTATGCGGTTCAATTATTTTCAAAAAGTCAAGAAATTAACGAATAACATATACATAAGAAGTATGCTAGTACTTAGAAACTATTTTGTCCGTTTTAGAGATAAAGATTCTGATAGAGGAAAGCACGGTTATCAATAAAACATTATAACTGACCAGAATAATGATGTTCCTGATTTGAAATTTAAAGAACAAATTTGTGGATCTCAATAAACTAAATGAAGAAAGAAAAACAAATCGTCCAGCAATGTTTCACTCTCTTTAACCTTAGTTAGTTCCTTCATTCATCACGAAAATCTCCAATCTTATTATTTTTTTCATCGCAGATGATATGTTCAGGATACTACGATGCGACTATAATTATCTTCAAAATTAAGCTTAGAGTCGTTTAATTTATTAGGATAAATTATAACGTTACACTGCTTAACTTATAACAGTATGCATGTATATTCGTAAGTCGAAGTTTCGATGTGACGAAGTTTCTACTCAAGTACCTTCAACTTCGACATGCTAAAGTTTTCCTTTCTATGAGACAATAGAGGGTATATGGCTAGAATTATCGATCCTCCAAGCATCTTACTAATTTCTAATGGATTCGGATCCATATTTGTAATAGTTTATTGACAAATACCTATTCATATCAGTATCAAATTCAAACTGCACATAAGATAAAGCTGAACTTTTATATATTATGTAGCTTATCATTATTGCTGTTATTTTCACAATAAACAAGTCAAAGAATGATTGATTATATTGATGATTGGCAGAAAACATAAATTCATTAAAATATGATCATCATTTTCTTTCTACAAATCTGCAAATTTACATTTAATTATATTTAAAAATATTCAATGAATGTTTTAGATTTTCATCATTCTGAAACTTTTAAAGATAGACCTTTAATCAATGTGGTTTAATTTTAAAGACACCTCATCTGGAGCATTATCTCTTGAGATAAAGCTACAATTTAACACTCATAGGATATGGGTTCAAACATTTAAAATAACACTGCAATTTAGACAACGTAGATGCATTAAAATTGTTTAATACCATTTGATCTTAAGTCGAATATACCGAAAGTTATTCCACTGATACACTTATATATATATATATATATATATATACATTTATAAATGTGGGACTATTGTTTATCATTTTAGAGTCGCATTTTCACACGGGGTTAAGTTATCTATGAGTACTCATGCACGAAGACTAATTTTGACTAGTAAGTATTGAACGCAAAGCAATGACAGCGTACATTGACAGATACTCAACAGTATTTTTTTTTAGCTATACTCGTACTTTATTTTTTTGTGATTCTTCTGGTTTCTTTTATTATCTTTTGAAGAAAATGATTGTGACATTGGAGATTTTTATATCACAGCAAACAAAAAGCATTAGAGATTGTGTTATTTAGTTTATTATTATTTATTTTATTTTTTATCTAGTATATATTCAGATTTTAAGAATATATATTCATCAACTTAAATCGGTATTTCATCAAGTTTTACTTTTTAAGATGAATTGCTACATTCAAGTGTCTGTCAATTTTTTACTCAGAGCGATAACACATTTAAAGGCACAATATGCCTCAGAAATGAATAATTTTTTCCTTTATAGAAAAGGCAAATATAAATTTCATAACATTGAAATCATAGTTTAGAGCTAGCTAGATGCTTATAAAATTTCAAAAATTAGCAAATTAAGTAGTAAATTGTAAACAAAGTAGTATTTTGACTTCCATACAAAATACTACGCTCCCTTCGCAGCTCACTGAATACACTCACGTTACTTGAGCGATAGTGGAACATTCGACCGATGCGCAGGAGAGTAACAAAATACTAAATCACTATACTGTAGTAATGGCCAAAAAGGTAACAGAAGCAAAAAAGGTTCAGGTTATTGGCTAATGAGTAACTAATTGAGGACATCAATAATCATAAGCTTTCGAGAAACAAAAGTATTACTGGGGCATAACGGGCCTTTAAGGACGAATCAGTCTCGTACAAGTACATTATCTAACGTGGCAATCTTCAAAATAAGTCCTGCGTAATATAAATTATTAATATAATATAAGGTCATAAATTGCGTAAATTATGATGATAACGTCCTCATTCTTGTGCTATAGCCGTATGTAGAAAATTCCTTATCATATTTCTATTTGATGTTACATGAAGAATATGGTTTAAAGAACCAATGATGCATCAAGTTTTAATTCTAATATGTTTAGCTGTGTCTGGAATGGTGACAGCTGAGTCAGGTAAGTAATGTGTGAAGATATGATTTTAAAATTATCAATTATATAATTTGTTTTAGAATAAGCATTTATATCTTCTTCCTTTTACTTGTGCTCGCAACCATATGCTCAAGTCGGTATAATTATTTTGATTCACCAACATTCTTCCTTAAAAACTTTACATCTTCTTCGACAATTTGATTAGACCTTTGAATAACGATTGTTATTCAATTCAATTCACATGAAACAAAATTTGCATTAGTAACATAACTTTCTAATCATACCCAGGTCGGATGAACACAGATTGAATCTTTGGAGACTTAAATACAAACTTGAGCGAGTACACAGCTGATTAGCATATATTTGACAATGACACGCTTCACATATACACACATATTCGTTGCTTTATATGTTATATTTGACATAACTAATACTAGCTTTAGGGATTTTATCTGCATTCATGTTCCAAAATAATAAAAAAATAATCAAGAAATTCAAACGTGTCTTCGCTATCTCTTATTAGAAACAGAGTCCGCTATTCTAAAAAGGCTGGAAGCAACAGAAAGACTCGTTCAAAATCTTTTCGATGAAGTGGCAAGCTTGAAAGCGCAGGACCAAATCCATAAAGAGCAAATTGTCGGCTTGAAGAAACAGTTGCACTGGCAGCGACAACGTAACAGTTACCTTGGAAAACTTAACAGGCTAAGTACCAGTAAACTAAAGACGGGTCCCGTGGAAGATAGTTTGCCAGTTAGCATTAGAAATCCGGATCATGTTGAAACCAAACATGGTAAGAGCATTTCTTGTTTTATTGATGACATTATAGGATTCCTGAGATTTTGAAAATGAAGTTTATTTATGCCATTGATAATTTTTTTATTACATGAAATTTTGAATTGTTGCAAGCATTTTCTTACTGATAAACATTAACTTTCAACTTAGGTTTTAGGAACATTGTATACATTTCTGAAAAATCGTTTGAAGTATAAAGAAAATTGAATTGATGCAATTTACAGATGCACAAGTAAACAGAATAAGGAGAGCCGAAAATGAAACTCCTGTGGCTTTTTTCGCAAAAATGGACAAAAACCTGGAACATGCTGGAATCCACCAGAATATCATCTTCGAAACTGTTGTCACTAATGTAGGAAATGGTTATCACAGTCATGTAGGAACATTCATAGCTCCGGTGTCAGGAACATACGCATTCTCCGCAACTCTTCTGTCATTCTACCATGTAAATGCACATGTAGCGTTTGTAAAGAACGGCCAACTCATCACAACAATGTTTGTTAGTGGAGGTGAAGCCGGTTATGATACAACAAGCCAAACAATAGTTCTTCAGCTGCAAAAAGGAGATGACGTAGTCGTTCAAAATAAAGAACTTGACAAGTCGTTCTATGGCACAGGTCAAGGTACTTTCTCTGGGTTTCTTTTGTTTGAGGATTTCTCCAAGTCCAAGTGTCGTTGGAAAATGAAATGAAATGTAAAGATTCAAGAAAGAATAAATAATTCTGAGATCAGTTTTATTATTTGTTTTCTTTAAGTTTTTCATGCAATATTATTACAAAATTATAATAATATCGCATTGATGTTGTTACAGACATAGTTTATATGTCAGCTGTTAAAAGTGATTTCCTCGAAAACAGAAGTTATTTTTAAAGTTAAAGAGTTTTGAGTTGAGCAAAAAGATTTGATTAAACTTTAAATCTCATAAAGCCTTAGAAATACTATCATTTATCATTTTTTCTTTTTTGTCTGCAACCTTTACGACACATAACTAAATGTTCAGTGCTACTCTCTTCAGTTGTTTAACCTCTTAAATGCTCTAAATCCATTATTAAGGCATTATTGAACAAATTTGACATCTCTAAAGAATTTAAAAATATTTGTTTTCTGAGGCATAATCAGTCTTTAAACATATCAATAGTGCTTGATATATATGGTAACAGTATGTTAAAGAATTATATATAAAATATTAGTGTATCATACGTTTAGAAATAAAAAATGAAAATGCATTTTAACCGTTGTCTACAACATACAAGTAATTATTGCTTAATTTTTAGGGATAAAAGTCTACCGAAGAAAAAAAAAACATCGTTACAGCTGAAATAATAAATAATCAACACATTCGAACATGTGATGTTAAGAGGTAATTTGCCAGTAAACAACTATGATACGATTTACAATTAAAACTTCAACGACCTTTTACAGTGCAACTTCATACTCGTACTTGTAAAAGATGATACATTTATACCAGATAGTTTTCTTAAAGTATTTCAAATTTTGATAAAAGAGAATAGAAATGTATCATTTGAAAAATCCTTCACAATATTTCTTGAAAAAAAATGACAAAGTTTTAAGGGATTTATTATGAACATTTATATGTTAACAAATAACACATTTTAATTATGTTATGGAGCTAACCATTTAGGTACATTAGATGGGTAATGTAGACAATTTTAGTACCAACAAGGTGTTCAATAATCATTTGATCCCAATTGACATCCAGTCTAATCTATACTTCAAATTTACTTATGAAAACGAATTATTTGATAATATATAAGTCTTAGAAGTTGGCATTTCGCATAGTTTGATAAACTTTTTTGTGGGTCAATCACAAATATAGGTCATTAACTCCGTGAAAGAATCGTGACGTATTCGTTATCGTATACATGTATAAATAGAACCTCATTCCGTTTCACTTTTAACCTGGATGTTAAAAGTAGGTGCTTTGTTTCGAGTTTCAATGATGTATCAAATTTTAACTTTAATTTGTGTGACTGTGTCTGGAATGGCATTAGCTGATTCTGGTAAGTAATGATTGAGGAAATACTTTTTTGATCTTATCTACAATTGATCTATTTAAGAAATAGATATTTTATAAAAAAAAAATATGTTTTTTACTTAGGCCTGACACATTCATAACAGTCTCCGTTAAACTTCATTCCTAACAACAAGCATCTTTCTCCCCTAATTGAGATAGGAATTTACATAATGATCATGATTTAATATCTTTCACAAAATATATGCAAGTCTTTTGATTCTTTTTTTATATATATTTTCTGGCGTAACTTGTCCAAGAAATGTTTCAAAGCTGGTTTATGCCTAGGTACGCTTCATAAAATTCCAGTCCATATCTATTGTTTTATTAAAACTCACCTGAAATATATACATGTATTAAAATTAAAGTATTATATGACGTCAGACGTTGTAAAAATGGTAACATAATGTTTTGGTCAGCTGAAATAACCAAACGGTACTCACACATATTATACACGGTTGTCGGATTTTAGTTACGTTATCCGTATCGGTTATCTCCTTTTAAGTTCGGTACATGATACATGATAACATGAATATCCCGTTTTATCTCTCTCAGTGGAATCTGATATTTGTACAATATATCGAATATTAGACCTATAATATAAAAGCTTTAAATACTTTACATGCAAGAACATTTCCAAACATTTCATTAAAAAATTAAAACATTTTTTCCTTTTTTAGAAACAGAGTCCACCATTCTAAAACGACTAGAAGCTACAGAAAAGCTCGTTCAAAATCTTTTCAATGAAGTGGCAAGCCTAAAAGCTCAGGACCAAATCCATAGAGAGCAGATTGTCGACTTGAAGAAACAGTTACACTTGCAGCGACAACATAACAGTCACCTTGGAAAACTTAACAGAAGATTAACAGACAGAAAACTAAAGATAGGATTTGTTGAAGATGAAAGTTTACCAGAAATCAAGAGACAGCCGAGCCACACCAACATCAAGCCAGGTCAGATATTAACTTGTTACATCAATGAAATACCTTTATAATGAAATTTTGTCTAATTTAAAATAGATTATCAAAGTAGCAAAACTGAGGTCAACAACAATTTTAAATTCTGACATATATCAAATATGACACTAAAAACGGAACATTTTTGCGAAAAGATAAGAAAATGATATGACCAGAATAAAATTCAAAATCAAATTTTTAAGTCATGACTCATCATAGCCTGATAATAGATTTTGCACACAATTTATTGTTCAACACTTATTTGAAGAAGAAAAAATCTCGGACAATAATATCAAGTCACGTCATGTCCGAATTTTCGAATAAAATAATGTATTTCTCAAACTGTTTTGGGTTTCTTCGGTGTTCATAAATTACCATATAGATCTACTGTAAAGTGTTATTTTGTGTTCTTGATGTTGATTATTTTCTTTTGTTTTTGGTTGTTCTTTTTTTTATTTGTTTTTGTTCTTTGGGGCGTTTTTTTGCTGTTTGTTATTTATCATTTGCGTGTATTTTCGTGTTTTTTTTTTCTTTTTGTAGTTGTTGCTGTTAGTTTTGTTTTGTATATAAAAAATATCTGTGTTCATTTTATTTTAAGATGCAAACAAAAACAGAATTAGGAGATTTGGAAATGGAACTCCCGTGGCCTTTTTCGCAAAAATGGACAAAAATCTGGAAAATGCTGGGGTCCACCAGAATTTCATCTTCGAAACTGTGGTCACCAATATAGGAAATGGTTACAACAATAATTCAGGAGCATTTGTAGCTCCAGTCTCAGGAACATATGTGTTCTCCGCAACACTTCTTTCTTTCTATAATACAAATGCATATGTGCAGTTTATATGGAATGGTCAGCCCGTCACACAGATGTACGTCAGCAACGCGTATCAATCGGGTCAGGATACGATAAGCCAAACCATTGTTCTTCATCTGCGAAAAGGGGATGTCGTTACGATCCAAAATGTTGATTCAGATAAATCCTTCATTGGCGGGGCCCGAAGTATATTCTCAGGATTTCTTCTGTTTTAGGATTCTACAAATCCTAGTTTTACTGGAAAATAAAATGTAAATTGAAAAGATAAATGAAAAGAAAATGATAGATCAGTTTTAAGTTGTGGTATTGATTGTTTCTGATAAACAATGTGCCTTTCCTTCCTAATGTTAAACTTATCCCAAATCTTTAAATTAGTTAAAGCTATATAAAAGGCCAATTTAACTTAATATACTACATGTATACAAGCATGATTATGCATTTGCTCAAAATACCGTGAACTCAAAAGTTTATCGGAAATGTTTTTAAGTTTATCAATCTTATTGGCATATGCTATATTATATGCCCAAAGTGAATAAATTGCACTTAATTGTGAACTATAATTGAACAGTTCATCGTGCTAATAAATAACTTACGATAAAGCGAAGTGAAAAATTAAATGAATACTATGATCAAGGTAAAATCTATACCTCCGACATTTTATTCAAGATTGTCACTGTCGAAACCTCTGAGTTGTTTCAAACAACTTGACTCTTGGTTGCTCTACGTACTCAGGTACCTGTTCTTGTCTGAAATAATGCACGGTAGGGCACCTGAGGTCTCACTCTACCACTAGCTTTAAAATCGCTATATTACCTATGCTATGTAAGTGTGACGTAAAACCCAAACAAGAAAAGTACTAAGACAAGAAAATAAGACAAAAATTGTAAATAAAAATGAATTTGAAATTCACGACAATACTATTATCTCATAGATATATCTGTCAAAGAGTCAATGAGCTGCGAGGTTCAGATCACATTGTGTCCTTTGTATTGAACTAAGGTATAAACCCCCCCCCCCTAGATTTGAAGAGTATTCAAATAAGCTAGAATTATTATCAACTGCATTGAAACTGGGTTCGTAGGTTCAAACTTCAGAAGAGTGGCCGATATCAGTTTAAACAGTTATCTACAACGTAATAATTGTTTGACCGGGACTTTTTAGGCATGGGAGTCTTTAGCCTAATTTTTTTTTAAAATCAACAAATTCGAACATATGGTATTTAGAAGTAATTGGCCAGTACATAAAAATGATACTATTTACAATTAAAACTGCAACGACCTTTCAAAGCTCCATGCCTTAGGATAAGGTAAAATAATTCAAGAAAATCAAAAAAGTAAAAAGATTCAATATTGAAGAGATAATTTACATGTTATTTGCGAATTATGGCTCATTTTGCAGTATTTATCAACATTTTTCTACAGTGTAACACACGCAGCAAGGGCTATTTTTCAAATTGTGATAATATAAGTGGTTGTAAGTGCCATTTGCAATGTGTAAATAACTTGATTCGTTCACTTCATTCTATCTTTTACTTTTAAATACATTTTTTAAATGTATTTCCCTCACATAACACTTAAAACAATGATACACTTAATTGTGAGTTTTAATCGGACATACGTTCGGATGGTAACCTTTTACAGTTATGTTTTACTTTACGTGTCATCAGAATCAAAATTTTATCAAGACAACTAATGTATTTGTTGGAAACAAGAACTCCAATGGACTTATGATCCTAGAAATTTTATTCAGTGGAAACTCTTCGTTTATTGTTGTAAATTATCTACAACAAGGATTACAGAAATGTGAGCATTATTTGATTGTGTTGAGATTACATTATCGTCGTAAATGTCACATTCGCTGTAATTCGAAAACACTCAATCCGATAGCCAAGTGTAAATATTGGAAAAAAATTGTTGGTTTTGCAATACAAACAAGTACAATTCATAAAAGTTCAAATCAGAATGGAATAGGTTTATGGTTTGTCATCAGTTTTTACTGTGCGCGACAAACATAAATCAAGTATATCACTATATACGGGTATATTTTGAAAATTTTGATATCATTTATTTTTTCTAGTTTGTTAACTGATATATGCGCGTTTTTTAGAATTGGTAAGATTAAGTTCTTTCTGCTATTCTATGAATCATAAAATGTGTGTTTAAATTACAATGTTGACCTTTTAAAAGCCACACATAATACTGACTCAACTTGGCATGTGTTTATCAATAAAACTGGTATTCTTCATGTTTTTATCAATTAAAATAGTGTACTTCATTTTTGTATCAGTTAAAATAGTATACTTCATTTTCATATCAATTAAATTGGTGTACTTCATTTTTATATCAATTAAAATTGTATACTTCATTTTTTACACCAATGAAAATGATATACTTCATTTATTGTGTGTATCTTAAATCTCGTTTGTTATAATTAAACTAACCACATTCCTCTCTAACTAAATGTATAACATTATGTATAAACTTATAGACTTATTTATGTTAACGGGGTATTCGAGCTACAACAAATTGACTTCCAATGTATGACTTTGCGGTAGCATTTCGAAATAGCTCATATCCTTTGTTCAATATATGATTTGATAGCTATATTTTCTGTTTGAGCACGCTTGATTCTTTTAAATGAAATGTTAAGGTTGGATTGAACGAATGCTTACAGCATCCACTTTGCATTTCAAATGCAAAGGGTTTAACGTTTGTCGGGTGTAAAATGCGACACACAACACTTTGCTTAACTATTGAACAATGAAGCGTCGCAAGATATACCAAATGAAGAAAACAATGAGTGTCATTGCAGCATTAGAACTGACCAGTATAACAACATTCCTAATTCGAAATTACATTAAACAATGGACCAATGTAAGGTTGACCTTTCACTTAACTAAATGAACGCCAGTACAGTGTTGCAATTTGCTTTCTGTACTCTCATAAATTTCATACATTCACAATGTATGTCTCACGTTCTGGCTCTTTATTAAATCCATATATATTTGATTCGTAAGATATATTGCGATTATTAATAAATATTTCTGTAGCATCATTATTCATTATGAATTGAGCTTTATAAATACAAGCTATATCAATGCAAATGTTTTGTCTGGGTACAAATTAAGACATTTGTTTTTAATCGGATAAGGAAAAAATCAATATGCGCTGTAAACTTATTTTTTAAGACGCATTTTACAGTTAATCAATGTATGCAGTTAAATTATTATCAAAGAATCAAGAAATTAACGAATAACATATACATAAGAATTTTTCTAGTACTAAGAAACTATTTTTGTCCGTTTTAGAGATAAAGATTCTAATAGAGTAAAGCATGGTTATCAATAAAACATTATAACTGACCAGAATAATGATGTTCCTGATTTGAAATTGAAATAACAAATTTGTGGATTTCAATTAACTACATGAAGAAAGAAAAACAAATCGTCCAGCAATGCTTCACTCTCTTTAACATTAATTAGTTCCTACATTCATGACGAGAATCTCCAATCTTATTATTTTTGTCATCGCAGTTGATATTTTCAGGATACTACGATGCGACTATAATTATCTTCAAAATAAAGCTTAGAGTCATTTAATTAATTAGGATAAATTTGAACGTCACACTGCTTAACTTATAACAATATGCATGTATATTCATAAGTCGAAGACCCGATGTGTCGAAGTTTCTACGCAAGTATCTCAACTTCGACTCACTGAAGTGTTCCTTTATTTGAGACAATAGAAGGTATATGGCTAAAATCGCCGATCCTTCAAGCATGTAACTAATTTCAAATGGAGTTGGATTCATATTTGTAAAAGTTTATTGACAAATACATATTCATATCAATATAAGATTCAAACTGCACATAAGATAAAACTGAAATTTTATGTACCTTATCATTATTGCTGTTTTTTTTTTCAAATAATCAAGTCAAAGGTGATTAGCAGAAAACATAAATTCATTAAAATATGATCATCATTTTCTTTTTACAAATCTGCAAATTTACATTTAATTATATTTATAAATATTCAATGAATGTTTTAGATTTTCATCATTCTGAAACTTTAAAGATAGACCTTTAATCAATGTGGTTTAATTTTAAAGACACCTCATCTGGAGTATTATCTCTTGAGATAAAGCTACAATTTAACACTCATAGGATATGGGTTTAAACTTTTAAAATAACAGTGCAATTTAGACAACGCAGATGCATTAGAATTGTTTAAAACCATTTGATCTTAAGTCGAATATACCGAAAGTTATTCCACTGATACACTTACTGGAAGTTAACAAGGATTACATGGAATATTCAAAAATGCCATGACTAAAATATGTTTCGCATCATGTCAGATTGAAGAAATTGTTTCATGTAAATGGCATATTCACAAACTTATATAAAACATTATATCATTATAAATATGTCATCATTTTTCTGCAATGTTTATGGTTTATTTCATCTTATAAAAATATAAATACCATAATTTTGTATAGGAATAAATATAACGTATAATGCTTACTGCTTAAGTGTTGTAAACACATGACAGGTGTAGCATTGAAAGATTAGATATGGTTTATTAACCTCATTTAATATTCATGATGATGTATTTGATGCACGGACTGTATTTTTCTACCAACGAAAGAAGCACACACCAAAATAAATACAAGTCAGTAAAATATGTTTTATCATACCAGAATTTAAGTTGTACGTAAAAAAACATAGCTCAGCTTTTTGTTTGCCATAAAAACTAAATTACAAAAATAATATAAATATTGAAGTACATATACCTTCTTATTGATTGGTTTTGGATTGAAAATGCACTAGTATGTGGAATGTCTCAATAATGAAATACATTTCTACCATTATGTTTAATTTTAACACTTATAGGCTTTTTTAAACAACACATTTGCTATAAATTTATATTTGACATTTCTAAATAAAAAAAATGAAATACGAGTATAATACAAAACAGTTCTGTGGTAAAGTGATTAAATGTCCTGTGGGTTTTTTGCTGTTTTAAATATATAATCAGAATTGTCTTAAAGAATAAACATTTATAAATATGGGACTATTGTTTATCAATTTTGGAGTCGCATTTTCACGCGGGGTTAAGTAAGCTATGAGTACTCATGCACTAAGACTAGTTTGTAATTATTGAACGAAAAACAATGACAGCGTATATTTTAAGATACTCAACATTATTTGTTAGCATTACTTTTTTCTGGTTTCTTAGATTACCTTTTG